AAAAAAAAAAAAAAAAAAAAGGAGAAACGAGGCTGGTTAATTTATTTCGCGGGTCGATCGAGTAACGCCTTTCTTTTTCACCTAACTATCTATCGTCGAATTAATAAGACTTGAATATTCATTGATTGTTAATGAATTATCTCGTGTACGAATCCAACTCTCGAAACGAAAAAAGGAAAAAAAAAGAGAAAACGTTAAATTAATATCGCGGACGCGTACGTTCGGTCAACGTACGTGAAACGAGGTTTAATTACTCGCGCGAGGAATTCATCAACGAGCGGGGAACGAATAGAGGCGGAACAAGAGTATATAATTTTATTCGATAAAATGATTAAAGGTGTTTGGAAATTATTATATTAATGCGTAGATCCTCCGCTTTCTTCTCGATAATAACATTGATCGATGATAAATCGGTAATAAATAATTTCGATTTTAAAGAGAAAAATATCAAAATCGTACGTTTATTCCGAGGTATATATTTGTAAAAAGCTTATCAAGCTTATTAATATTCTATTGTGCCACGAACGATTCGTGTTATTTGTTAAAAGTTTGACAAGTAGTTGCGGAAAAGTGAAGTAGCGCGACGCGTGTTCCGCGATACAAAAAGGATACAATAGCTGTTCAACGAGCATGAAAAGTCGCGCAACGGCACGCTCGTCGTTGAAACTGCGTTGTTAAGCTGTTGCTATCGTTTACACGAATCGCAAAAGGTGATTCTATCACTTGAACGACCACCTACCGACAAGCGGTACAACGTTGTTCGCATTCCCAGCATTCCAAGGAGAACGTTTCGCTTTGTCATCCCGGTTGCCTGACCGTGCACCGGTGTTACTACTTACGCGACGGCAACAGACACGCGTGCGGTATTTCGAGGAGAGGAGATATTACACGACGTGCCCATTAATCTTTCGTATCGTGAACAATATGCGAAAACAAATATTTACAAACAGCGAATAAATGTGATAATTCAACAAGATTTATCTCGTTCACTGGAACGGGTTGATATTATTTAAATCCTATTAAGTCCTCGCCATTTTATCCTTCTTTTTTTTCTTTTTTTTTTTTTTTGCGGAAGCCTGTCCAGAGTTGAAGGGATAATATCTGCTTAACCTTTCCGACATGGCCCCCTCCAACCTAATTTTGACAAGGATTACAGGAGTTAAAGCCTATCAAGGACCTACCGAAATAGCCTTCGTTTAATTTTTAAAAATTATCCTTGAATTTTTTCCCACAAGGATTAACCGTAATACGAGGCGACGAGTGGACAAACTCGATCGTGGTGAAAATCTTTGATCGACCGAGATCTTCGTCTGTCGAAAAAACGTATCGATTTCAGAATTTCATTTCTCAGAATGGAAGGTGAGAAACGTGAGGCGCGGATATAAAATGGTGCACAGTTGAAAAGGGAGGAGGAGGAGGCATGGGAGCNAGAGAGAGAGAGAGAGAGAGAGAGAGAGAGAGAAAGGGAGCCTTTTAACTCGAGAAGGTAGAGACTGGAAAGATACTCACCTATCCTAATGATATCAGGAAGAGCCGCGGCGTGGGCGGCGAGGAGCGCCAGCAGGAGCCACCTCGCAGCCATTTCCGGTTCCGGTCCGCTCCACCGTCTCTCCCTCCGCCTGCGACGCCACCGCCACCCCCCGCGCCCCCCGCGGGAGCCTGCGCCTCCTCCCTTCTGCCGTAGAGACTCACACCGCTGGAAAACAAGATGGGATGGCGAGTTCATTAAAATGCGCCGCGCAAACCTTCGCGTCCGGCCCTCGAATATATCCTCTGGCGAGGAAAAGAGGGCGGAAAAAGGAGGGGGGGACGCCTCTCTGCGACGATGACACCGTAACGACCGGCGTGCCACGGATTAGAGAAGTCGACGCCTGCCAACCGTTTCGACTCTTGTCGCCCAACGGAAACGAGGGCAGCGGATAATCGGATAATAAGATGCGATTCGATGATAATAACGACGACGAAAGATCCGAGAGAAGTTTTTCTTCGCGAGTTTTTCTTCTCTCTCTCTCTCTCTCTCTCTCTCGTCCGTTTCCAAGTGACGCGATCGAGCGTTTGAGTTCGAGTCGAAATTTATCGTACGGTTGTTTTGCATACGATACGAGCGTGAATGTCGATTCATCGAATTTCAAGCGGTCAGATAAATTGACAGGAAAAAGAAAAAATCGTTACGAACTCGAGGGGTAAACATCAGTTTTGAAAAATAATGATAAAAAATAACTGCGGGCCGATTTTTAACCGTTTATAGAAACTCGAAACAGTTTAAAATACACGGATACGCAACGGTAATTGATTTACCTTTCCGTTATTTGTATATATATACAAATTCAATATTTCACGTACGTGTTATTATTCCTCGTTCAATGGGAGGACAATAAATGAATAATTCGAATAAAAATTACGAGAACTCGATATTCGGGCAAATCTCGTAGAGGAACCATTTGTGGAGAAATCGTAAGACGGTGAGGAGGAGGAGGATCCCTTTCATCGTCCTGTGCGACGACGACGACGAGGACGACGATGACGACGACTATGTCGTTTTATAAAAGAAAAATGGAGGAAAAAAGAAATCGGTGTCACGCAACAGAAACCAACCCAGACGCGACGATGTCGAAGAATAAGTAAGACAGCGTGGAATAAAACCGTTGGAAAATAAAAGCAACCGCTGGCGCGTTTTTTTCTAAGCTTCAGCCTCGAGGCTGTTTACGCTCGCGCAACCGCTGCAAACACACAACAATGTGTACAGGCGCGAATGTATATGTCTCGACATCGAGCGTGGAAAAAGTATGGCATCGTGACGCAACACCCGAAGAAAATGGAACCCGTGAATGCTGAATACGACCGCGTTGAAATCTCACGTGGGCGCAGGAGGAAAAAATTTTTTCCCATTTTTTTTTCTTTTTTTTTTTTTCATTAATTTTGTCTCTATCTCCATCTCTATCTCCCTCTCTGTTTCCTTTCCTTTAATTCGATCCACGAGCGAAACTTCACGCGGACATTTTCCACGCGGTGATTTTTCCTGTTTGCGCAATCTACAATTTCCCGGCTCTCCCGGATCTCCCGTTTCGAAAAAAATAATAATTTTTCGCCACCGGTCCCTTCCAATCGCCGATCGGAAATCCTCGATACACGGAGAACGTGGCGCAAAAAAAATCATTCCACGATCTATAGCCCCGGTGATTGTAACGTGAAACAAGCGAAGCGAAAAAAAAAGAGAGAGAGATATAAGTCAAAGTCGCGGATTGGATTTTTTTCGGGTTTTTGTTTTTTCCTTTCTTTCTTTTTTTTTTTTTTTTTTTTTTTTTTTTTTTCACGGAACGAGGATGAAAAAAATCCGGTGAATACGCGCACTATCGAGTTTACCTCGAGTTGTTCGAATCTCTCCTGTGAACCGATACTATTTGCGTTCGCGTATCATCGCGTATGGGGATCGCGAAATGGAATAACGCGACGAGTTTAACGCGTTCTTAAACGCTTACGATCGCTCGAACCAGCTCCCGATTTTGTTCCCATGGATGGAGTCTCGATCAAAATCTGACTCGATGAAAAATTTGAAACATTGAAAATTATACAAATATGTATGTGTACGTAGGTAGGTGCGCGCGTATGTGTGTGTACAGTATCTCGCGACCGAGATAACTCGGCAAATATTGACGGACGGGATAAAACGGTGGAATCAAGCTCGAATAATTTCGCGATCCGTACGTACGTGTAAATAAAAAGTGGTATTGCGTCGACGGAGAGAATCCGTCGGTGTGGAGCCTGGTAAAATTATGCTTTCCATTTAAATTTCTCGGGGCGGAGAAAAATTTATATATCGCGGACGGGGGATTCTATACGGCGAGTGAACGAAAATATTCGGACGTTGAAGTATGGTTGACTTTGACGCTCTGTATATTTGTTACCTATATGGAGGAAAATAAAGTTGAAAACCTTTTCGTTCCCCTCTTTTCTTCCTTTTTTCATCGTTCGATTCGATGATTCGTGACTCGAATGTGTTTTGAACGAAACGAAACTACGCGTCACCGTAAAATTTTTACAGGGAGAGAGAATTTACTCGGCCGTGTCCCCGCTCAACATCCAAGATCCAAGAAAAAGTCTTAAAGTCTTAAAAACCATATCTCGTCGTCGAAATGCCGAGTGATTTTCCACTTCCTCTAACTTATTCACCATCGTATCCCCTGCGAGGAATCGAATCGTAATCTTATTCCGAGTCGAAATTTTCCAGTAAACATAGGGAGCAAACACGTAAAATTGGAAGGTGAAAATTTAAAATTGCGCGGATTCCTTCTTACAACGAGGAAGTATTCGAGAGTATCGGCCGAACACCTTCGAGACACCGCACGACCAACTTCCCTTCCCCTCGGTCGGTAGCCAATTCTCTTTCTGCATAATTTATCATCCCTTCGTTCCTCCCTCCCCACCCAACGCGAGAGAGACGTTTTCACCGTGAATGGAGTGGCTCTTGTTCACCGAGATACACTCGTAAATTTTCGATGCTAACAACAACGACCAACGACCAATGATATATATATATATATATATACGTACGCACGCGTAGCAATCGGCCGTTGCGATGAATCGTTATCGTAAATTTGAAAATTACGATTTATCGAGGCTGACACCGCGCAAGATTCGAAGGGACGTCAGATCGGCCGAGCTTTTTAAAGATGGATCACGATGGACAAGGAAATTTATGAGCTGGCGATATTTTTAGAAGAGAGAGAGAGAAAGAGAGATATCAGAATACGAGTGATAAATAATTCACAAGTGGATTATTGAATTCAAGATTCAGAGATGCGAGTTTGTTTTATCGCGGGGTGAATAACCGACATTTTATTTACAAGATTGGAATTCAAGTTTGAAAGAATACGGGGAGAAGGGGGAGGGGGAGGGGGGAAGTTTGGATCGATCATTTCAACAGCTGCCTTTTTTTTTCGCGGAGGAAAAGTTTGAAGGACAACGATCGGGACAACTTCGAAGCGAAATTTCACCGAATTATTTTTGTCGAGGATCATCATTCTGTT